TTTGGAAACTCTCAATATCTCGTCGCTCTCCGCAGGCAAAAGCGATTTTTTAGCCCCAACACAACACGCTGACAGGCTATCAAAATAGGCTGTCAGTTTTTTGCCGTTTTTATATATATCGCAAGGAAAGTGTGCTGAGCTGGCGCATTTCGCCGGCTACACCACACACCGAGGTTAATTTGGGATTTTATATTTTTTGCAACGAATCGCGTGTTGGTTTTGATTTATCGGTTCTGTCCGAGGTATGAGCAAAAAATACATTCCCGGTTTATAGAAATTGATGTTTTCATTTTATTCTCTTTTTCAAATATCAAGTATTTCACCAGTTCAACTGATCGATTCGTTTTTCCTAAAATCTATAATTAAATGTTTCTGAAAAGCTATAACTGAGCGATTATAATGACTATAAATATTTTTCAGCAAGTTTTGAGGTGACAAAAGGTGTAAAGTTATTTAAGAACTAACGAAATAAATTAAAAACATTTATTTGAAAAACATTCATATTTGTAGCAAAATTCATTAAAAAATTGTAAGTGAAGAGATCTGGCTTTTTCCTCGTTGAAAAACGGCTGTACCAGTTTTGATCACGATATCATGAGCAACAAAAAAAATCAGCAAAATTGAATAATTATTATTATTATTATGGTTGTTTATTTGTCCAAATTGTTACATCACATTGTTTACATACAAATTGTTGGAAACATTTATTTTGAAAAAGGAATTGTTGGACAAAACGGCACCACCACTAGCAAAAATTTTGCTAAAACTTCCTAGGCCAAAAAGACCCCCCATCCGCCGCAGTGAGCCTCGGTTGACTGTTTTTGTTCTTACCACGTTAATAAAAAAAATCAAAATCTTACAACTGAAAAGTATATTATATTAAAATTAGAGAAACTTAGATTTACTGTCAGGTTCTTTCTTATTGTTAGTATAAAATTGCTGAAATAAGTTTAGAAATTTGGCATTCACATAAAGTATTTTTCACCTTTTATAACGATAAATTTCTGATAAATTCCAAAAATTTTAACATATGTTATTCTGCTTTAAATTTACATTACCATATCTAATTTCGAACTAATTATTATGTATAAAGTCATAAAAATGGGCTTTTTTTAAGTAAACACACTTTTGATAGAAAAATGATCGAGCTCTTGTAGTGAGCCAAAATATGATATATTATAACCAGATTTTCCATGCCCATGAGAGACCGGAATCATCTTTTTCATTTCGAAGGCATCTTTCAAGTTGACGGATCGCCTCATTTCCTCTCAAATTTTTCTTTTCGATGCACAGGAGGAATTTCGTAAGGTTGAATTTCTTGTGAAAAGCCACTAGTTCTTCAACTCACTAGCATTCCTCCTTCGACTCTTTAATATTTCTTTTTACGTCTCAAATATATGCAATTTTCCTCGACGCCTTCTATATTTTATAGAGAGCAAGCAACAAGCGGCGTGAATTGCTTTTTGTTCGTTGCGTAATTTGCGCACCGACACTTGTTTGCAAAATCCATTGCGATGGAAGAGATACTGCCATAGGCGTGGATGTGCATAAACAAAGTCCCACGCACGCTGCACCCGCCGCGGCGAGTATAATTATTGCTTGCGCAGAGTGGCGATAAAGCGCGATGATTAATGATTCGGCAGCTCATTCTCGGCTCGCGAGATAAAATCTGATAAATCGGCTGCACTACTAAAGTGGCCAAAAAGCGCCGCGTGCTGCTGTATTAATATATTTTGGCACATTGCGCAGGAATGTAGGCCGAGACGCGATTGCAGGGGCCAATCTCACGAAATCTTATAATAATGGAATCGTTTAATTTCCTGATAAGGACATGCGTGCCGCAACTGATTCAAAGATAGAAATAAATTAACGCATTAAAAGTTACCATTCAAACTTTTCATTTATGTGTGTTTAAACTCCAAAATTTAATGAATCATGCTATTTTATAACAACTTATTGTTAAAAATAATTGTTTTTCAAGAAAAAGGCAGCAACAGTATAAAAAAAAAATTGATTACTTAAAAAAATATTGATATATAAGAAGGTTAATTTTTAAATCTGGTTTTTTTTTTAAATTATTATATAATTTGCCTAGATTTTCACAGATTTTTAAACCCAAATGATATTAAATTTTTGTTGATCTATCTGCCTAAATTCCATTTAAAATGGTGGCCAAAAGACAGAAAACAAAATTGTCTGATCAAAATTATTCATCTTGTGAACGCCATTCAATATATTGAATATCATTTTAAGCAAAATATACATTTTAAGCAAAATATTTATTTTAAATGTTAGTTACTTTTAGTAGAAAACAATAGCCTTTAAACCACAAATAAACAAGGATGGGGATACCTAAAGTAATTAATTTGATGAAAATTCCAACCTCTGGATTTAATGAGTTCAAGTTTATTTATTTTCAGCAATCATGCAAGGAATTTCCCAAATTTTGCGTCTTCGAAGCAATTTGGGGCAAATTTTCAACATGCCTGAGGTTCGAGATTCTCGTCTGTTTCTTGTTCAGCAAGCGAAGGAGAAGCAATCAATTTTCAGGCTGCATATTAGTATTTTCCGCGCACAAGTCAAAGGAGAAGTTCATTAAGACGGAGCTTTTTCGTTCGGCACAGCATCGTCGTATTTGAGCAGCGCGCAACGCCAAAGTGCAAATTCGCTGTAGCGTTATTAAACGTTTAAATTAATTCTGACTTGATACTCTCTTCTCTTTCTCGCGGCTGAAAAAGTAAGAGGGAGATCCTCGCGGCGGCGAGATCGAGACGCGGAGCTTCTTGATATTACTTTTCTGGAAAGTTTTATCGATGCCGGGCCAGAGGGGAAAGACCAATTACTTTTGAATTTTATCCCTTTGGATAATTTAATAGAAGTTGGCAGTAAACCAAAATTGGTACAAAGAAAACTGAAATTTAGAAGCGAGGGTTTGAGGGTTGTCAAAAATTTAGACAATTTTCGTTTCCTACATTTAGGAACTCTTTTCGCTTTTAAAGATAATTATTAGATACTACTAACAAATAAAAATTATATATTCAATTGAAAAACATGAACGATTATCCAATTTAGCTCAAATGGCTCTGAATTTTTAATCATTGTCAATTCTCTCAATTTTTTTATATTTTTATTATTATTATATTTGCCTTTAGAATAATAATATCTTACTTACACAATATAAATATTTACAAAAAAGAAAAAAACAGGTTAGTCTCAAATTGCTTCAGTACTTCACAGTGTATGGAAATTATTCATAGGAAACTCCAAACTAATCTCTCACGCTCTAAAGATTTGTAGAATTAATTTCTAGTGTAGTGGATAATGAGAATTAATGCTGAGTTTGTGTTAGAGAATTATGTCGTGCGTGCATTTTCAACTAAAACACTTAAGGCTTTTGTTACGTTTTCAGCAGAAAAGTTTGTGCCGGTGCTTTGGAAACCTAGAAAAGGGGGTCAATTATAAAGTTTGCCTGTATGATTTATACCATTAATGGAGTAAATAAAATCTCTTTATGAGTAATTAATGCGCTGCTCGCCGGCGAAAACTATTAAAGCGTATTTTTTCATCAAAAGCATGGTATTTTTATCATTCAATTATGAACTAGTAAATTTTTATGCAACCATCGACGATCTTTAAGCATTTAGTTTAAATTAAATTTGCAATCAATTTTATTTTTCTCCAAAAAAAAACCAATTAAATTTTTTGACTCGCACTTGATTGAGAGAATTTCCGCTCACATTTGATAAAGCGGGTGACGAAACCCCGCCTGCCTGCATTTCCACTGCCCTCAATCCAATTTTTTCAACAACCCTTTCTCTTTGAAGCAACACCGGTCAAATCTGCGCCAGTTCCTTTTCAAAAAGCTAATGAAGCGACGGCGGCGGCTAATCCCGTCCTCATGTGATCCTCTCTAGTACGGGGGATAATAAAATTAATTCGCAGCCGGTTTTTCGGCTACTTTGCGAGTAGAGGTGTCGTCGGCGGCGGCACCTCTTGATATGCTAATTAGGCCGGTCTAATCATGGATCATGCACGCGGTGCGAGATTTTACGCGTGCCCTGGCCATTGTCATGCAAATTAGTGTGCCCTGTGATACGCGGGCAGACCAAAGCCCCGCTTTCACGCCGGGGTTGCAGTGCGCAGCCGGTTTTATCTAAATTGTGATATCTTTATGGCCGACATCCCAGGTATACATGCCGTGTCTGTTATTTCGCCAACTCCCTGCCCGCGCGCGTGCTGCGTCCGACGGCCGAAATTGGCTTGCTTGATAAACCTGGCGAGGGTGATTTATTTTTCCTATGGTGTGCGTTTCGTACAATTCGGCCCGGTTTTGTGTCTTTGTTTGTTGCCAGGTGGATGAATTGGGACTTTGATGTTTCAATAATGTGTGTGGCTGAATTTGACCTATTTTTTTAATGACTGCAAACAAATAAATGCTTTCGGCATTTCGTTTGTTTTGCAGTTTTTCAGCTTGCTCATTATCGTAGCTTTGAAAAACCACAAAAAAAAAATTAATTTCTCAAACCGCTTGAGGAAGGCGTTCGTGGTTTTGGGCTTGGCGCAACTAAAATTTAATCACAACCGGTCTGCTTATCTCAGACCCCACTTTTGCACACGCTTGAGTTATTTCTCATCAACCTTCTGACTTGACCGCATTTAAAAAACAAACGCTAATAAATTCACTGTAGAAATCTGAAAACTGCGAATTATTGAAAAATTTCACTTATTTACCTTTACAAATTTTTGCAAAGTTTCATCAGATTTATTCGATTAAGTTTGTATTTTTTTTTCAAAGAATGAGAAACGAACATTTAAATTAACTTTAAAAAATTCCTTAATGATGCTAAAAAATTCTCAATTTTAATTGAGTGCGCGAACTTTAAAAATCTATTGGATATAATTTGCGGCTAAATGTATGCGGTTTCACGCAACACGTCGTTACTCGCCAGCAGCGCTAAAAATAAAACGACTTTCATGCAATACTTGAAGGCTTTTAATTGTTTGTGTGTGACCAAGAGACACGCAAGTTTTAACATTCGTTACAAAAACTCTCGAATAATTACACTTGAATAGGAAAGTCTCCAAATTTAATATCTTATTATTTACGTCACGCTATGTGCTCAGGTGATTATTGAAAAGTTTTAACTAATTAAAAGCTGATTAAAGCTATTATTAATCAATTACACGCGGCTTCTCAGCAGTGGCAGGAAGTTTTTTTTTTTTTTTAAAGTAGCATTGATTTTAAATATAATCAGGAATTTACATTATCTTTTATCTTGATTGTAAAGTCACCAATTTTTCAAGTTTATTTGATCAATTTCTTTGTTTCCAGGCGAGACGTGTGAATTCTAAAGATGGCTTTATCAGTATCATTTCTAGATTGTGTGGAAAAAGGTTGTTAAGTACATTTTTATGAAAACATTAAAATCATATATTTTGCACTAGTTTAGCTTCAAAACAGGGGTATTCGGAGGTACCGGCGAATCTGGGATATTTTGAGTCGGAAGGAAAAGAAATAAACGCTGACAGGTTACTAAACATTTTTACTCATAATCCAGCATAGAGACTTGTTTTTAAACTTCAGCGTTTTTATTCTCGTCGTGCACTACAACTTTGAGAAAGGCATAGATGATTGGCCACGACCAGGCAACGAGCACGACGTTGAAAATTTAAGGAAAACTTTTAGCCGAAACAGAAAATGCGGGTTCCGCGAGTGTTCGCCGAAAAAGGATGACCTTCTCGCTCTTCTTCAAGACGAACAAACTCTGAAGAGATTTTTTGGAGCCCCTGAAGGTTAAACTTTGGTTTTTGATTAAATAAAAAATTATACATCAAAACTTTTCAGGCATAGAACCGGCGATTTTCTTTTTGATCGTTTTGTCGCACGGGAATTCGGACGGAGTTATTTTCACGGATACCCTTCAAAGCTCTGATCCAAAAGATTACGAGAAATTCACCACGAAAGAACTGTTCAAATCTATCAAAAACATTTTTCCAAATTGCTTTAAAGGAGTTTTTCTTGGGGTAAAACTAAAAATAATGTTGGGTAAAAATGTCTCAAAAACTAATTTTACGTTTAAATTAGCCATGCAGAGGTCAACTAGAGGACCGTATCTTTTATCCCTCTCAAGCCAAACCTGGCCAGGTAGAAGATCTCACGAAAACCGCAAACTCGAGTAGAGTTTCCTTTGAGCCGAATATGCGCAACCTAGTCATCTTCTATGCAACTGTCGAAAGTAAAACAATAATCTTAAATAATAAAATAAATTTTCTTCTTTGCCTCTTTTGGTAATTTTTAGCGACAATGTCATGCAGGGACAAAAAGGCGGGCACTTGGTTTGTCTCAGCTTTGTGCCAGGAGTTGAACGAGATGGGGCAGAATGAGGGACTTCTAAAATTATTGACTGGTGTCCAGAACCGAATTCACAAAGAGACGATTGGTTCATTTCATTCGACTGGCCAGACGCCAGAATTCAAATTGTTCTCTTGCGATAGAAAATTAATTTTTAAAGCTCTCGACTTGTAAGCTGAAATAATTTTTTGCTTATTTTTGTATTTCAAACATTAAAATATGTGCAGGAATATGATTGTGGGTGGGCTGTCAAGAAGTGGGACAGACGCCCGAGGCAAAAAAGCCAAAACAGGGAGCTCAGTGGAAGAAAAGCCGCCGTCGATTAACTTTGAGTGGTGGAATCCAAATTCAAAAACTGTCCTCAGAGGCCGAAGGGCAGTGATTTTCAATCAAGGAGAAGAAAATGAATTTATAAGAAAACTGGACGCTGCTCTGGTAGCAAATCTAGGTTTTGAAACTATATCCGTGAAAATTGACAAAGGTGGAATCGATTACTACTTCAGTCAATCGGGTGAATATAAAATTGAAAATTATTCTCGGCAAATTCTAATTTGGACATTTTCAGAAAAATCTTGGACTGATTACGGCTGTTTCGCTGCTTTCATTTTTGCCGAGATTTCAGAGGGAGAGGATGGGCAAATTTACATTTATCTGAATGAAAACGAGAAAGTTCCGATTGGTGAATTGATCCACGGATTGTTAGGGCCGACAAACAGTGACTGGATCGGAAAACCAAAGCTATTTTTCCTTGTCGATACTAAGTCCACGTCTACAGACAATGCAGGAGTAATAATATTTTCAATTATTAATCTCTCAATATTTTATTTGTTCACTTCTTTGTGTGAACTGCTATAGTCACGATTGATCTTTTATTCAAAACCAAAACGCTTCCAAGTTTCAAATTTCTTAATATATAACTAAAAACTGAAATCCTGTTCAATATTTATTGAAAAAAAGGCATGATTTATAGCGGGGAATATAATTATTCTATTTCTGCTTGCCTACGATGCATGGAAGAATAAATTGTTTTAATGGAGAAATAATTAAAAATGAATGGTTTAATATTTTGTCCTAACAAAATGGAGCAAGTCAATCCAGATCGAAAAATTAAATTGAAATAAACAACACAAATATTAATTGGGACCACTTATTTGTATTAAATTTGAATTTATTTCATCATATTTAGCTTCTCCGCCTGGTCTTGTTGTTAAAATCATCACAAAAATGTACAATGCTTCCTTATTAACAGGGCAAATCGGATTGATACTTGTTCAAAATGTTAATACCTAAACATAAAAATATTTAGATGCATCTTTCAGCGTCGAGGCAAATGAATGATTGGGCTTTTTTAAATCTCCCAGTTCACTTGAAAAAAAGTAATCGATGACACAATATTTTTTCTAATATTATTTTGTTTTAATCTTAGGCCAAAACTTTTAATCCTGATGATTTTCTCCAAGCAACTAATCACTGCGGATGGCTGGTGTTTACTCTTCTAAGTTCGAGTGCGTGTTCGTCATATTTTTATTTATAAATATTGATAATTTAATATTTCAAAATTGGTACAGCTTTACTACAAAACTTCCTGGAGATTTTCGAGAGCCAAGAAATAAAGAAAACGAGAAGCCTTCAAGAAAGCCTAGCCGAGTTGCTAATGGAAAGGATGAATGAAAAACCGGAGGGGATGATAGTTTCAACTTTACCCCACCTCTTGATCTTCCAAGAATTAGAGCGAAATTTTATTCAGCCACACTTCCTTGTAGAAGGAAAGGGTTTCAAATCAGGAGAATTTGAATGGGACGAATTATTGGACTTCAAACCAATCAAAGAAGAAGTTCAAATTATGCTTCTATCTTCGCTTCCAGGAACAGGAAAGTCAACAGTGATGCGCGAGTTGGCATTAGAACTGCAAAGAAATTTGAAAGGCAAAATCAAAGTTTTTCTAGTTGTTCTTTCGCAAACTTATAGACTTTTTGCCGATGCAAAGAAGGAAAGAAAAAAAGTTCCGTCACTTGCTTTAATTGTTTCCCATGCCACTGGAACTCGAGAGATGGAAATTCAAAATTTTATCGACCGGAGGGAGGTGATTTTGATGTTCGACGGATTCGACGAAATAAGTCCCTATTACCGAGATCAAGTGCTTCAAGTTTTTTCTCAAGCGACGGAAGCAAAAGTACCGATTTGGATTGCAACGCGGCCGCATGAGGAAGACGCAATTCTTGCGAAATTCAGAAGGGGAAACGTAATTTGCAAAGCCAAAATTATGCCTTTAGACTGGCTCCAACAAATAAGATTTATGATGATGATTTCAAAAAAATCTGTAAGTGAACGTGAATGTCAGATCGAATTCTGCAGAAGGAATGGCTCAAAAGATATTCTAGGAAACCCTCTCCACTTAAAAATGATTGCTGAACTCAGTGATACAGATAACAAAAAGGGGATCAACTTGACTGAAATCTACGAAAGAATTGTTGATAAAAAATTACGCTTTGCGCTAAGACACTTGAAGGGTCTCCCATTTGAGGATGAATTAATTTCTTGTGGAAGGGAACTGAAAATTGCTGCTGTCAAATTTCTAAGTGGCAGTAAAATTGATATTTCAAAATATGCCAGCAGTGGAATTGTAACAATCAGCAACGGACGTGCCCAGTTCGTTCACCAAACGTTCGCCGAGTTCCTCGCGGCCACGCATTTCATCGATTGTTTGTTCTGTGAAAACGAAAAGATGCCCTTCAATATTTTGAAACAAGAATTCCATCAAGTCCGCAAGTTTGTTGATCTTCATATTTGTTCTTGCAGTGAGGAAAAGTCAGTGTTATTAATATCGCTGGAAAAATGCTTGAAAATTGGTCTTACTAAATCAAAGCTTGAAAACGTTATCCTGAGGGAAAATCTAGTTAATTTTTCCACCATCGCTGCAAATCTTGTTACTTTCAATCAGACGAAAACAAAAGGACTGAATTACGTAACGACTGACCAAATTTTGGCATTGTCTTGCAAAGTTAACGAACACTTTGCATTGGGACTTTTGAAGAATGGCGCATATGAAAAGTTGGTAGATGAAAATACTGCAACCGTAAAAATGCTTGTAGGTGCAATTGAAAATAATTTTGTACAACTTTTTTCAAAAGTAATAGAAAAATGTATACATTTTATGGAGTTAGTTCGGAAGAATGAAGCAATAACTGGGTCTGTTGAAATCGCGAGCTCAAGAAATCATCACGAAGTTCTGAGGCTGGTGCTCGCGAAAGGAATTATTGATCCAAGTGATCAAGATGCAATAGAGTGGGCAATGAAATTTGCTGTTGAAAAGAACAGCGCCGAATGTGTTGAGCTTCTAATTGAACACGGTGCTCGAACAGCCGTCTTTGATGGGTTTAAAACTGCATTTTTTGACATCAAGACAACGGAAGCATTTCTCAAAACAAAGGATGAGCCGGTGCTAAAATTAGCGTCAAGAATTTTCGATTGGTGCCTGACATGTGAAAATGCTGAAGTGGCAAATTTTTTATTTGAAAAATTCAATGTTGGTGAAAATGCAGAATTTGAAGTGAGGAGAAGTGCCCTGATTTATATAGCAAACTGGATGAAAAGGTTTCACAACATAGCGGAATTTTTGGGTCGCTCTCTTGTTGAAAAACGTGGTTTTCCAGTTTGTGAAAATGATGAAAATGACAAATGCGGGTGGAACGCTTTTCATTGTGCAGCCAAAGGGCAAAATCTGGGTTTGGTCAAGTACTACCTTGAAAAGGACCCTGCGCTCACCAAAACCTTAACGGTTGAAGGCGAAAACATCATGCATCTATTATTGAGTGGTTCTGAAAATTGGGATAGCAAATTTGAAATATGCAAGTTTTTACATGACCATGATGCCGAGATGGTGAAGCAAAAGACATTGAAAAACAAAACAACGCTCCATTCAGCCGCTGAAGGAGGACTTGATGAATTGAAATGGTTGGTGGAAGAAGCGGACGTTGAGGTTGATGACGCCGTGGACGACTGTGGATGGAACGTTATGCATTTCGCTGCTTCTTCTCCGTGGGCTGAACTCAAACTCTTTGAATATTTGCACGAGAAAAATCCCCGACTAATTGAGAAGAGGACCAAGAGAAACGAAACTCCGTTGCATCTTGTAGTAAGGAATAAGCACGGGAGAGGAAAAAAATACAACTGGTTCGTCAGCAAAGGAGTTGATACTTCGGTGCGAAATTCAGATGGCAAAACAGCTCTGCAAACAGCCAATCTACTTTTTCTTTAAGAATTCAATGCATTATAAAGTTTTAGTGAAAAAATAAAAAATGCTTGCATACATTTATTTAGTGGGCTCAATTAGTACCTTGCATATTTTGCTTTCTTTGAAAGTAGTTAAAATCCTGTATAATATTTAAAAAATTCCAGTTTATATGAATTTACTTTTTGGCACATCTAATTTTCAATGAAATAAATAATACATTGCTTACTATATTTTGCTTTAGTCGCTTTTGATGTTTATTAACGCCGATAGGGAAATTCTTCTCTATTCGTGTAATTTATATCATAAATTTATAAACATTCTTTAAAAAAACTTCATAAAATAAAAACGAAACCAACTTATTCTTGTTGAACCTGATAATTTGAAAAAAAAAAAATTAAGTCTTGAGAAAATAACCTATTTTATAGAAGCGCCTGCGTCTTTCGAATGCAGGCAACCAGCTGGCCTTGAGAGCTGAGCACGTTTTATAACAAAACGGGGACAATTGAAATATTTTTCACTCTCTTCCGCTACTTCCTGCACCCTAATTTTTTATTTTTTTTATTTTTTTTTAACTCTGCGTTTTTCACTTTTTGCACTTTCAATCCTGCGTTACACTTTTTTACTTTTACCACCCAATCTTAAAAAAGAAAAACGTCAAATTTTAATTAATTCATTTCATATTTATGGAAATGAAGATTCGGGCTTTTCCTCGTTGCAAAAAATTGTTTTTTATTCAAAAACAAACGGCTCTACCAGTTTCGGTCACGGTCTGCGACCCTATTTTCATATTTATATAACTTTTAAGTTGCACTGATAGTTTTTCATTGACATTTGAAATGCAAATTCTGTTTGTTACAATATTTTTCTGATTAATTTACGATTAAGAATAATATTTATTTTATTCATAATAAATTGGCTCTTTCTTTCCCTTTATAGAAAATTACAAAAAAACAATGTACTTTTATTATTATTTTCAAATTTAATACAAGAAGTAAAATTTTCACATTTTTCCGCAACCCCAACAGCAAAGTGACTTTTGAACTTTGACTGCGGCGTGTCACATTTGCACTCTCACCCGGCGTTTTCCCTTTTTCACTTTCGAACAAAAAGTTTCATTTCATTCAATTCGACAGGCGCGGTCCTTGAATTTTTTAAATGCGCGCACTTTGTATTCAAGTGAGAAAAGCTGTTCTCCGCTCGCGTGTCGTGCAAAAATAAAAGCGTAAGAAGAAGAAGAAAGAAAGTAAGGAGAAGCTGCCGAGTGTGTGTATCTTTTTAGTACAAGTTGGGTGGAGAGAAAAGACGGTGCTAGGAGAGAGAAAAGAGAGGATTCGGGAAAGCCAATGTTTGACAACGCAGAAGGAAAAGCAGAGCAAAATATCTGGAAAGCGAATTCGCAGACGTCTCTCGCGTTTCACTCGAGTTGTGTAATATTACACGTGTGACTAAATTCGCCAGAAGAGACGAGCAGCTGCGAAAAGAACAAGCACACGCAGTTTAAAGTGTATTATTTGATACACTCGACAAGAGCGCCAGGAATTTTCCGCATGCGAGCTTGACTTTCAGGGCGCGCCACTGCTCGCGTGAGTGCGACAAATATATTTTTGAAGTCGAGACAAAGCGCAAACCTCCCCCGAACATCAAAATTGCGAGCCCGAAAGTAATTTTCACGCAGAACACACTCCACTTGGGGGTGTGTAGTTGATTTTTCCGCTTTGTGTGCTGAGAAAGCAAACTACTACTTTTCTCCTCGGCAACTTTCTTTGACGTAACAAAAACACTCGGGGGCGCGCTGGAGAAATTAAGAGGAGTACTAGATGAGAATGAGGGTAGGTCGACAGGAAAAGGCGCTGTTGCGCTTCTTTGCTCCGGAGAGGCTAATGTGCTGAGTTTAATTTGCAGATTCTCAACTGTTGGCAGTAGAAAGGACAAGAGTCTTTAATCTTTTAAATGAGAAACAGAAATTTCTTTGCTCCCAATTATCAGTGAAAATTTATAGAAATAACGGGTGGAATAACTTTTGCTACACAATTAATGTTTATTTATTCTAAAATGAATTCATATGCTTGAGAAAAAAATGTAGCAATTTAAAGTAAAAAATGAGCAACCATTAAATATTATTAATTACCCTTTTTTGTAGTAGAATTTCACGATCGAGGGTTGATTCGTGGTGATTTGAATTTAAATTTGGCTTTTCCTCAATGGGTTTTTGTGAGTTTTTTATTGTTTAAGAGCAGGATATTGTTTGTTCCTAAACAATAAACAAACTCACAAAAACCCACTGAGCAAAAGCCGAATTTAAATTCAAATCACCAGTCTATCAGAAGCCCTCTTAAAATATATTTTACTTTGTTTATAATTTTTTGAACTCTATCTTTCTATTATAATATTTTAATTGCTTGTAACAATTAAAAAAAAATTAAAAGTTTCTACACTGTGTCTTTAGTGGTTTGATATATTAGCAAGGAGTTTAGTGGTAGTTAATTAAAAGTTTTTGCATTAATCTTGAATTCACAAAACACTCGGCAGCACCACTTGCCGGCCGATTCCTCATTTTCTGCGGGCAGCATTTGCCAAGAATTTGGCGTGACATTCTTGCCGCAAGCGTTGTTTGTTTTATCTCTCATTAACACTAGAAGTGGCATTCGAAAATTATTGTTATTATTTACGCCAGACTTCTTTCCAGACTTGGCACGCGGACAACAAAAGCAAACGCACTTCCTGCTCTTTCTCCTTTTCTGTCAGATAAAGTGAGAAAGGGAGACGCGAAAAATAATTCCCCGAATCGAAATGAGCAAGACGCCGGCCAGGAATTAATTTCCCCTCGCCCTTAATGGAGTGTCGGAGCAATTTTTGCTCTCTCGGCTGCTGCAGATTTTATCTGCGCATCCATCCCTCATTCTGCGGCAAAAAATCATTAGGAATTCAGTCCCGTCCTTACATATATGAATGTCTTACGAAAGTAGAACAACGAGCGGCAAGAAATTAATGCAGGCCCATTATTCATACCACCGCTGTGCGCCGAGTAAAAAAAAAATGAATCAGATGCAGGCTGCATGCGAAGTAGTTGTGCGCAATTTCATTAAATAATTGCGCGCATAAAAAATGAGAGAAAGAGACAATGCAGGGCGCTGGAGGGTGTCTCATGAGTGGGTGGAATGGAATTAAACCTTACAATGCGGCTGGCTGCTGAAGCGTTTCTCTAATTGCACATAAAATTATTCAATAATTTTCAAATCTACATTTCATTAATATCAATTGTATAATGATAAAATTGAAAGTGAATTAATTTATAATTTTGAATGTAATGGACCAAAGCTTTATAGCTGCCAATATATACATTATTATTATTAAACAAAATATATAAATATTGTTTTAAATAATTTAATTAATAATAATATTTTACATTAAAACTTAATGTCTTAAAAAAATAATTAAAATTTTTTCAAAATATTATTGTTAAACTATGAATTTTAATAAATGAAGATGAAATTAAATTGTTTCTTAATGTCATTTAAAAATATATATTTAATATCTTTTTTTACTTCATGTACTGTGGCATCTGAACGGGAAATTAATTGTGTGAGTAGATTAAGATTCTGGACTGACAGAGTGACGTAGAATGTGCACACCCATTAAGTTAATGACATGCAAAAAGCGTCCACTCCACTTTCCAATGCTACATCCATCTTCATCTTCGAAGTGATCAAAAGTGTTTGGCTTCTCAATAATGACACACCGCGGTGTTTTGTGTGTTCGCAGGCCACTTGACTTATGCAGTAGTTTTAAATCCGGCTCTAATCTAAAAATAGCGTGATTTTCCGGCAATTCTGGGTACATTTTAATTGTGACGTCACCCCCTCTTAATGACATATTGGCCGCGGCGAGATAAGTTTCGGTCTCATTGCGTGTTTTGTAAGCAGCCCGGCCGAAACAGTCATTAGCGGGCAAATATAGTTGTGGGTTAGTTTGTTAGCAGGGCTGCTTATCTCTGGCTCGTGCCGGGGCTGACAGTGAGTGGTGTTTTATTGCGCACGGAGAGACGCCGAGAGCGAATTCACAAATTACGGTACATAAGCGCCGCACAATTTCGGTATATATACATATTATGTTTAAATTGCATTAACGCTGCTCTCGCAGCTTCGTCTCGGGGTCTCTCGTTTTACACCTCATTATTATTCGTGCTGCCTGTCTTGAGTACATTGTTAAAGTACCATTAATTTACAACACTGTGCCCATTAATTTGAAGTCGGTTAGCGGCGGGCAAGCGAGAAAGACGGTGGCCCTGCCGCATGTGAATGTGTGCGAGCGAGCGAGCGAGTTCCAAAGAAGCGCCGCCAGTCCTGCAAGTAATTGTCTGCAGGGTCTTCGTCGTGTGAAAATAACAGTATCAAAATTTATGGACGGGTTTTGGTGAACTTAAAAAATTTTCAAGAACAAGTCCTGAAAAATTATAATTTGATTTTACTTTAATTTAAGTTTATTCAAAAAATTTAATTATGCAAATTTTTAATTGTACAGTTCAAGGTCCGCGCAACAATGAAAAAAGTTTTGATTGTTGTTTGAGCTCTCTGATTGGGTACAAGTAAAGTTGTACCCAATCAGAGAGCTCGGCAACAATCGAAATTTTCTGACGAGCGGACCTTGGTACAGTTAAAAAAAAGTCAGATTCCTCTTGAGATCACGTCCATGCAGGTTTGTTTCAGAAATTGATCTTTAAAGGGCTGTGAAAGGTTTCTTAGCCAACAATTTTGTACTCTTTTGAAGACAATAAGACAAATTTTCGTTAATATGTTTAAAACACTTTTAATTATTTTTTATTATCCAACTCTAAATATGCTATGTTAGGAGAATTACGGAGAGTGGCTCAAACTATTTCTGAAGTTTAATTTTTGTTTTACTTTTAAATTTTGACTAAACACAATTTTATGAATGGTGGTTTCTTTTTCGAATACACAATTACCGTATAAATTTTATTTACCATTCATTTTCTACAAAGGTGAACTTATTTTGAATTTACAGTGTTCTTTCATAGATTAAATTATTATAAAACGCTTCTGCAGACTCATGAATGTTTTAATAGTGGAAATAAACACAAAAGGGGCTGGCGAAACGGCACCAAAAACTAAACTTTGCAACTAGGCTATATAAATGCAAATATACGGCGCACCTGAATGTATCTTTGACGAGCTTAATTTTGCTGGGATAAAAATAAACGCAATAAACCCGGCGGTATAATAAATCAGTTCTGCATGGAAGTTGCGGTTCAGTGGTTGAAACAACAATTTAACTTTGCATATAGCAAGAGAGCAACGGGGCGAAATTCTTTCGCTCAAAAGAAGTTTGCACAGAGAGCAAGTACAAAGGTAAACACAAGTTTCTCTCGTGTAAGTGTACGGAACAATTGTAATAATTGTACAGTGCACGTGAGGAGGCCATAATTTCAACCAAATACCCTGCGAGAAGAAAATGGCTTGTATTTTCCTGGTAGCAGAGACGAAGAGTTTTGCTGCAGATTCAAAGCCCCCGGATGTTTTAATTAGAACAAGTTGAGTGCACGGAGAGCACCGAGTTGGCGATGCGAAACGTATTAGCGGAGAAAAGTTAGTCGCTCTAGCTCCGCGTGCCGCGACGCCGTAAACAAATAGCACCGCCCGAGATCTTTGCAAAAACAATATTTTCTGCCGCTGCTGGCACGCGACGTCAACTTGCAACTTGAACGCACGCTCGGCCCGTTCATTCTCGGTACAAAGTTGGTTCAGTTTAAGTAAAAAGAGAGCAGGCAGTTCCATCGCTTTACCTAATTTAATGCGGCGGCTTCAATGCAATTATGAAGCGTGACGAAACTCGAGCTCAAACTTCTGGGGTGTGTTTTGATGAAGTCATTTTGCACGCTAACAAGTTTGCTAATGAGACATTTTCAGGGAACAAATTAATACGTATAACGAAATGCGTCTCCATCCAAAGAACGTTTTAATAAATTTCACTACATATTTATTGAATGGTGACGTCGAAACCAAGAAATCATAAAGAGGGCAGTCGCATATATCTTCAAATTTTGCTAGATTTCTTTGAAGATATTTACTGCCCTTTTTATGAATTCATTGGTTTTTAACATCACCAATAAATAACAATGTCGTGAAAATTTATAATATGTAAGTTTATATAAAGCTCTGAAAATCAAATTATAATATTATTGCAATTTTAAATTTTATTATAAAAACTTATGCCATATCAAGATAAAAAAATAAAAAAGTTTTATATAATTTGAACAATTCTAATTTTATAAGGTTTCTTTTTCTTTAATATTATTTGTCCAAATTCTACAACAAATTGTTTGTATTAAGTTTAATTGAATTTAGTTTAACATTTTTATAAAATTTACTTAATTTGTTCTTGAATACCACAAAGAGTATTCCATGATTTAGAATAAATTTAATATTTTTATGCAACTCAGTTAATAAAAAATTTGACCAAATCTTATTAGGTATAGTTTGAGGAACGGAATGTGGATTCAATTAAGTTAATCTGGCCATCAATTATTTGGAATTTGAAGTTCCATAACTTGAAGAATTTTGAGGTTTTAGATATTTCTTTTTTCTTACTTAGTAATTCGTTAGATAAAATCTTAATGCCATTTTATTTTTAATTACATTTTTCTCAACTGATATTAATATTTAAGCTTTTATCTAACTATTTTGTCTAAAATAATCAACCACAACTTTTCACGACATTCTACTGTAAAATATTTGACATTTACATTAGAGACAAAGGACTGGTGTCGTTATTTTATTTTATTTTTAGAATTATTGCTACAATTTTTTCCACGCCATTGTCTGCCCTCCCATTGAGACACAAAACACAAGCAAATAATGTAAGAGCCGCAATTATTTTTTATACGTTGAGCCGGGCAGGACAAAATTAGATCAGACCGGCTGCCACTCTTTTTCCGTAAGTGAGCAAAAGACGGAAGAAAGAGAGAATACAAAGAAAAAGCAGCAGTGCGCGACACAAAAAGCCAAAAGAGTTATAGCCGAGCTTAATAGCTGTAGAAAAATATCTGCGGTGCTGGTCGGAGAACCGACGGAGGAGAAAAAAAATTGAATTCCATTAGTAGAATGTCTTCAGATTAATCAGATTTCTTTTGAGCCGTTCCATCATCAATTCGTAATGACTTTGGCGGGATCATTCGTGTGGTTATATATTTTCTCAAACGACGAGTTTGCGTTTCTCGTTTTCTCCCTTCAGCGGCAATAATGACAATTGCTTTTTGCACCGCGCGGAGCAAATGGCTGACTGATAAATTATTATCTTCGCGCAGAGTTAATGAAAATTTATGATAAATTACTTAATAAATATTCTGAGCAATTTTAGAGATAAATTTAAAATATAGATGTTAAGTCGTTTATCTCTTTTGTGTCATTTGAATTGTCTTTTGTAAATCTCGGATCTTGAACCTCGACAAAAGCAGATATTTCAAGTAAATAATAGTGTAGTTTAAAAATGCACCAGCCTCGTTACTATGACAATTTACTAAATACATATTTATTTGTCTCTGATAATCTACGAAAAATTATACACCTGTGTGACAGCAAATGTTATTTATTGCGCACGGTGACTCGCTTCTCTTCTCTTTGCAAACGAATAATAATTAATAACAATGAAATTCAAGAGCCTCTTTTATATATGCATTGTTCAGTTTATTGTGAAAAACATATAATGATATCAGGATTGTCATCATTATTTGCAAAATGTGATGTGCGTGGTAAAATAACTATGTAAATTTTGTTCACTCACTTCGACATGAATGAAAAATAATAAATGTAAGTTAAAAAAAAAAAAAAAAAAAACAGAGTTCTGTGTGAGAGAAGAAAAAAATTATCATTAATTAACGAAAAATGAATTAAGAAGTAAAAACAGATCTACCCTGTAAAAAAGCTGCCTAAAAATTCTAAGAATGACACTGTTTCATAATTCTTTGTTTATTATTATCGCGAAAAGAAGGAAATATTAAATGTGCTTAGAAAATTTCACAAAATGCAAAATGTCTTCTTTGCAATTATTTCCCTCTTGTTGCTCTAAATACTATAAATTTTAATTGATCTTTCATAACAATTTAATTTATTATTACAAACACTTTCGATATATTTCGGGGAAGAGAATTTTTTATTCCCCGCGCTTCTTCTGCAGCAAAAAGAGTGATGGGACGCGAGGACTAACAATGCGACTTTTTGCGGCCGGAAAGACACACAAGTGCTGATGTTGACAAGACAAAAAATTAGAGAGGAAGAAGAAAGAAATAAATAAAGTGCTGTTGGCCAGCAATCCGGCTGAAGTGGTCGGGGGTCACTTCTCGTCTGAAAGGTCAGTGAGCAGGAAAAGGCCACAGCAGATGGCCGCCGTAAAAAGGCCTGATTCAAATGTCAAACTGCCGTCCGGCCAATTGTGACGGATGCTGCTGGCCTTTTCGCAAAAAGCGGCGGATCATCTCGTTTTGATAATCAGCAGAGAGAAACTAGAGCGGCAAAATTAAAGAGGGCGAAATTTGCGTTCCAATTATAGCGGACGGAGTAATTTTATGCGCGAGCAGTACCAACACCTGCAACCACCTACGCTCCTTTTGCGCAACGTGTAATTAAAAATATTTACCCTGCGAAGCATAGCAACGTCGTCTTTTTTACTCTCGACCAACTGCACTATTATTCCACAGCCGGAAGACATTTTCTTTGCAGCGAGAGTAACCAAAGGAGAAGAAGAAGTGGGTCGCGCAATGAAAATTGCGCAATTTGTCCTCTTTTGCATTCACAAGAAGCACTTTACTTTTCGCATGCATTGCTGTTTAATTGCCATTAAATGCATTTTTATGCAAATGAAAATATTCATGAGCAAAAATAATTGATAATAAATGCAAACTCTGATTGCAAGGCGAGTATAATTAAAATTATGATTAAATAGAACGTGCTCATTCAGGTGAAATCTTTTTCAGAATAAGTAAGCATCTTCAAACATTCAAACAGGAAAAAAAATGAAAATATAAATAATTTTTTCATTTCAGATTCAGAAGATAGAGACAAATTATATTAAATTTTGCAACAAACAATAAAAAATTAATGATTTAAAAATTTGGTGAAGTGGAGAAGAGACAGTTTATCATTAATAGAGAAATCCGGAGAAATCAATGCAAATAATTAGATTAAATTACTAATATTTAAAACTGAATATTAAAAATCTGAAATAATTAAAACAAACTTCCAAGTCACAATAAGAAAAACAAAATTAATAAATTATTCAAAATTTAAAAGAATATTTGTAGTCTTAAGGATAATTTAGCCAGTTAGGTACAATTTTTGAAAAATTAATTACTTTTAATAAAAACATTATTTATATATATAGTTTATTGAAAATACCTCATCAGAGTACAATTCTTCAATATTTAAATTTATACAAGCGAAATTTGATAAAAATTAAAATTTTAATTAATTAAAAAATTAAAATTATTTTTAATTAATATTTTTTTTTTAACAATTTATAAATTTAAATAACATACGGCCCGAGAAGGATGCGTGTGCAAATTATGCGACAAAATCTGCGACCAATACCACCTCGAGAAATGTGAAAACCGAGTGCTTTCCATCAACGACTACGCCCGTATGGGAAAAGACAAAACATGACCTTATAATATGTTATTTAAATTTATAAATTGTTAAAAAAAAAATATTAATTAAAAATAATTTTAATTTTTTAATTAATTAAAATTTTAATTTTTATCAAATTTCGCTTGTATAAATTAAAATATTGAAGAATTGTACTCTGATGAGGTATTTTCAATAAACTATATATAATTGAAATTAAAGTTAAACTATTATAAAAAACATTATTTAGAATGCAAAAATTGTCATTTTTATGATATTATTTTGTTTTGTTCAAAATTTCAAGAGATAAAATATGCAAATTCAACTCATTAACAGTCCCAAAATCATTTATTATTTTACCACTGCTCAATTGTGTACAGAAAAAAGCAACTGGAACTTCAAGATCCAGAATTATATATGAATTATATATATTTTTAATTAAAAAAAAAGGAAGAAAATCATTTGCCAAAGAGGTTTTAAGTAGGCTTCAGTTCTATAGTTGATAATAGTGTACATTCACTATTTCGGGTCAAAAATAGAGTAGTTTGAGCGGTCAAGTGGCAAATTTTGCATGCCTTATTAGAAACCATGCATAATTCAATGCTCACAATCAGTGTGATTAATCAAATAATCCAACAAGCTCAGGGTCAACAAAACAGAGAGAAAGGGGCTTAAGCCTGCACAAATATTTGAGCGACGCGCTGTCTGCAGGCTGCGTGTGTGCGTCACACCGAGATTTCGTAGACGTCGGCACTGGTCGCGATTTGCATATTGGCCTGCTCGGCGGCCGCCGTCGAGTCGGTCTGCGAAGCGTCCCTCAGCTCGTCGCCAAAGGGACCGACCTGCATGTCAAACGGGTTGTCTTGCATTTGGTCCCCGAAGAGGTCCTCGTTGCTGAAGTGGGACACCCGCTGCTGGACAAACATGCAAAATTAACAAGGGAATTCAAAGCACTGCATTCATTATATCAATCGAAAGATAAACTCCAATGCTAATGAATTATAACAAAAGTATTAAATGTATGAATGCAAATTTCAATAATTTAATGATAAAGTACAAAAACATTCGATGAACGTAAGTTAAGTTTTTGGGTAGACTTCATTTAATGCATGGGATTTGATTGAAAGTTTTTTAAATATATTTTACATTTTAATTCCAATAAGTTTTGTGTTATATATCAATTTGAGATTTTTTGTAATAATATTAATTTTTAGTTGCCAATATTTGCTTAAATATGAATAAAATTATAAAATTAAGATAAAACAAGTGGGTTATAAATGAATATTCTTAATGTTTTCTATACTTAAAAGATTAAAAATAGAACTTACTCTGGTTTTTCTGTTTTGACTGCAGTTGCAATGAAAGTGTGTGTGGTAATTTGGGGCGTAGGCGGCCTTGGAGGGCTTCGTCTGTCTCGGTGAGCGGACCTGATGATGAGTGATTTGGGCAGGTAATTTGCCCACTTGCAGGGAGAAGATCGCCCACGTCAGAATGGTCAAAAACCACACGGTGAGCATCAGGATTATCAGTCGCCACGGGATTACGAAGGAACCTGATGAATAAATTTTGCTTAAAATATAGTTTTTTAATTTAAAAAAAAATTATGATTCAACTTTCTTACTAAACATCAAATAAAAAAAAAAAATAATAATTTTAAAAAAACCTTCCAAATTTTTGAAAAAATCTTAAGAATATTAAAAAATTCAAAAAAGAAATTTTTTAATTCAACAGAGACAAAAAATGCGTTAACCTGCTGTAAATTCGTCGTCGTTGGGCACAATCCTGCTCTCGTTGAGGGCCTTCTGCTCATTGTAGATGATGAGCACCCCTTCGATGAGGCTGTACAGCAACTTCCGGTCATCCATGGTGGCCTAATTGGGGTCGATCATGCAGCAAAAGCATACCAATTGCACGCTGCACTCGGACTGACCGGTGCTCGTTCTTCCTTCCTTTCTTTCCTCGCCAACGTCGGAATTCGCAATATTCGAGTTTCCCGTGGAATGCCTCGGACGCAACTGGTTGGAACGTATTATCGAATCAATGGCGAGAGTGCTCTTCGCTCTCTCTATCGCAACGGCTCCGATCAATTTGGCCCGCGTGGAAATAACATACATTGTGGCGAGAACATCACAACTTTGGTTTGATCCTGGCGCTTCTCGATGAATTCCGCGCACTGCATTCCAAATAGCAATTAACATTGGCACGGACACACACTCTCAAGTGCGTTGAATTGCAGCTTTGACGTTGCGATAAAGTAAAACTTCTTTAGTTCTTTGCAGGTTTAATCAAATAATTTATTGTGTGTTATTAATTTTTTTAATACAAGCAAAGCAAATAAATAAACATCACGAGGAATTGATAAAATTTAATGTTGTGTCGATAAAGCCTCTTTCATTTGATAAAGAAAATATATAATAAAGGGAAAAGTTTAATTCTTTGTCACAATTTGTCATAACTTGAGGGTTAAAAACCTTCAAAATACCAATTAGATATCAAAATCAGTCTCATTCTGTTCAAAATTTTATACTTATTTAACATTTTGAATTGTTTAGTTTTTAAGTAAACAAATAAATCGATGGCTTGACAAAATGTAATTTTAAGTGTAACGTTGGCTGTAAAAAAATATTTAAATTGAACTAAGAACAGTAAAATATCTACTGCGAATATGCATTATATTAAAAAAAAATCACTTGAAAATAAATATTATTTTCATAAATGCGAAAAAATTAAAAATATTTTAGAACTATAACATTTTTATCTTTTGATAAAAATTTTAAAGAAAGAAAAATACACAATAAGTTGATACTATTATTTAATTATTATAATTTTTTTTTCGTCTAATTTTTTATTTATTAAAAAACACAAAATTAATATTTTTTTATTAAAAACAAGCTTATAATTATGTAATTTAAATATTTTTTGATCATATATTTATCATGTTTATATTCATGTATTTTACTAACAATAAGATTATTTTACTTCACTATTTTCGTCACTATTGTTGAATCTCGCTTTACAATACATGAAGTAATGAAATATTTCCGCTGCCAATTAAATCATAAAGTTTTTTTCAGGTTTTTTTATTTGCAAGTAATTATTAAATTACTGCTCTCAGCTTTCGCGTTTCTCTGCATTCTGATCTCTCATGTATGTTTTGTCATTTGTTTTTCTCCGCTGTGCACAAACAATCTAATTAGCCGCAATTTTCCAGCTGCAACACACACAGGGACGCGGTTTATTTATGTGCCGAGAGAGTCTCGCGCTTGACATCAAACAAGCAAGTTCTGAATGCGGCACAAAAAGCGTGCATTTCTTTTTTTTTGCCAGAGATGTTAAAGGGGATGCAGGAGAGAGAGATTCGCATCTCTTTGTGCTCGGCTGCAGCCGCTGGTGTCATCACATGCCCGCTCTCTCTCCGACTGTCACGCCCGTGTACACCACACGTATATCCAACAATGGATTTCGCAGCCAACTCCATTAACGGCGTATCTGACGCGCCTTATTGCGAGAGATAGACTCGCATGCATTTGCTCTGCCCCGGCTGGGGCTTTTACGCTTCAGAAATAGATATTACATCTCGCGCGCGCGAGAGGGTGTTTGAATCTGAGTTGCAAAGCCCAACACACGTGATTGCCATCGCAAAGGGCGCACTGCGTGGATGTTTACTTAACAAAAAGGTTAATTGGAACACATCAAAGGTAAATAACCACCGGCAAAGATGGCGTTTCGATAATTTCTGATTTAGCTCTCGGTTGTATAGTTGGTTTTGGATAATGCTTTGATGGAGTATTTCTGATCTAATATTACCGTGTGTATTTCCAAACTCAATCAGAATCCCTTAGAGAGTTACTTTGGCTTAAAATATGTTGCTTTTTAATAAAATTTTGCAAATTCTTAATAAATTTAAAACGTCATATCCCCAGTATAAAAATGGAAATAGCGGGAAATAGCATAGAAAGAAGCAATTCTTTCTGAAATATAGCAATGTAATTTTTTTTTTTAATGTTTTCCTCGTTCTGGAAAAATAATTTCAAAATTTGTATCATTTTCCTTAACCATCTTTGAGTGATGCACGTTTTGTCTCAATTTTTCCTCAAGAAACTGCATGTATATTCGTAACTGGAGCAATAAAAATGAGTATTTTTGAACATCTAAATTGAGACTTTTTGAATCAATAAAATGAACTATTATTTCAAACATTAATTTTAAATTTTGAACTTTATAATAAAATATGATTTTAAACATTTTAATGTTATTATAATCATCGAACAATGTTAATATGAAATTTTTTAATAATATATTTCATTGACGAAAAGAATTTTGATAAAACTTCAGTGAGATAAAAATGCCTCATCCGTCATCCGCTATGGTGAGTCTCGGTTGACTTGAGTTTTTTTCATTGATATACGAGAGACAGTTTTAGATTTAAAATCAAACATTTCTGATGCGATTCATAACAACGTTTGCTAATACTTCTAATAATTCAATACTGAATATAAAATTAATCAAATTCTAATATTGACTTCATGATTTTTGAAATAAAATCACCGAGTGTAGCTGTTTTATTTTTAATGGCAAAAATCAGTAAATCAAGACGAGGCAAGTCACGTACGTATACGCGCACTCTAAAAGTAATAAATTTAAAGCTCTCTTCTCTTCCTGTGTGCGAGCTTGAGCGTAAGAAGATCAATATGGAGATTAGATTGGAGGTAAATACGCGCGCCGGAGAGTGGATTGAGCGTCGGCGGCGGGATGAGAATGTGGTTAGTGACCTGGAGGCGGCGAGACCGGCGAATGCTCTCTTGCCGATTAAATGGGTCGAGCTTTCCATAAAACCGGCCCGAATGAATACTTGTGTCGCTTTTGAGTGACACACAAACCCGCACCGGAGCCGGGCATCTTCCTGCTTTTGCCAGTGGTGCGGGCGGACAGTAAAAATGAAGAGCACCGTCGTCGTATTATGAGCACCTCGGCCCATTACTGGGACATGTCGCAATTGTGGCCGGCGATACGGTCGGGGAAACTAAGTGCTCTCGCACCGCATCAAGGGTTGCTTGCTTGCGTCGCCAGATTGCAATAACGGCAGCCCCAAACTAAAATCGCGGCGGCCCAAGACGCGTTTGATTTTTATTATGGGTCGTGTTGTGCGGTCGTAAAAGTGCCGCTTTGTGTTTTGTTCTGCATGGAGACTTTGCCCACTTTCAACTTTCGCATTTCGATTAAGCTAAATTTTTGTAATTTATTCACTATTTTCTTTTCAAACATGCTCGTCATTACAAGTTAATCGAAGCTTCCAAAATCAATCAGGAACAGCAGGCGACGCTTGGCTTGTAATTGAATTATAAATGATTTTGATTTGGCTGGGACAAGACAAGAAAAATTTAAGCGCTCTGATTTTTTTTTTTTTTTTTCAAATATTTAAGAATTTTTTTGTGACCAAAAATATCTTTATTAATTTTAAATTTTACATATAAAAATTGCAATTGTGGTAAAAAATGGAAGGGAAAAGAAAATGGGCTTTTTGTCTTAGTTATTATTATTATTTTTTAATTATAAAACAAAACGGCTCTACAAGTTCTGGTCACAGTCTTTATCCTTATTTAATAAGCAAGAAAAATACAAAAATCAGGTAGAATTGAACAAAAAGTGTAATAAATGAAAAATTAATTCTTAAAATAAATAAATTCATGTATCAAGCCTAATTCATAAGCAAACGCACTGCTCTGTAAGATACAAATTTAAATTAATTAAACTTTTAAAGAAAAATAAACCAAAAAATTCACTACTTTTCAATCAATATTGTTTAGAAACCTCAGCATTAAGAGTTCCTTTATGTAAACGTTAAATTTTGTCGCTGTGTATTGTAAAGTTCCACTTTCATTCAACGACGATTTTGTTGTGGGTGGAAAGTACGCAATTCACATATATGTTTCGCAGGCACTTTGACTTTTATATCACTCGGGCCGGATTATGTGTTTGCATTCGGTGGACAGTTATGTAGCTGGGAACGGTCTATTTTCAGGCCGGAGGCGATGAAATTGCAAATTGTTTGGTGCGGCGCTGTGCTTGCGCGGAAAATGCCAAGGCGAGTCCCCGAAGGGACATAACTTCACTTTATGTTAGGCACCCTAACAGCGCAATAGTGATAAACTACCCTCGATCCACTTTGGGCCAACTCCAGGTCGACCTAACCGAGAGAGGCTTCTTATGCTCGGCCAGACGAATCTATTGCGCCAAAATGCAGAGCTTTATTTCAACGTGCACTCATTTTTCACACTTCTATCTGTGCGGCCCGAGTCCTTGAGAAGCTCCACTGCAGCACTTTTTCTTCGGCGGAATGCATTTCAATATTATTTGCCACTGACAGTGATAAAGAGCTGAGAAATAAAACAAAAACTTATATAAGTCTCGAAGGTCAGAAAGAAAGTTGTGCAAATCTTCTTGACTTTCATACAAGTTCTATATATTTTTGTGTGAGAAATTTGAAGTAAATTGCACCTGATTGTGATATTAAAATTTATTAAAACATTTACCATCATTAAGGAAATATTATTTTAAACAATTATAAAACACAAAAAAAAAAAACAAGGAGTCTTGGAGCTTTTTTTATCTAAAAAAAAAGAAACATTTCGAGTTGTCTTTATGAACTCATTTTAAATCTTTAAATTTAAATTTTCTTCGTTCTAATTTAAGTCAACGTTTGACTTGGATCACGAAAGCTAGAAGGCTATTTAAGAAATCCTTTTTATCGGGCATGCCATTCATTACTTTATTTTCGCCCTATCACCTGCATTGGCTCTAAAAAAGTTTGAAAAGAACTCTGCCGGAATCTGTCAATTTGCGAATTCCAAGAGAGCGCGGGTCGGATCTAGGTGAGAAATTCCTCGACCCCAACATGTGGCGCGCAGAATGAGAAAGGGTTGGTCCGAACGAACCGCATCAGAGCCCTGGGGAGCCATTATTTTGCGAGGAACCTCGAGC